ATGATGATGATGATGATGATGATGATGATGATGATGATGATGATGATGATGATAGAATGCTTGTTGAGGGTTAGTGAACAGAGTTAGAAAATTAGCAGTAAGAAAGCGCATGGGATATTACAACAGGAAGGAATCTTAGAGACAATTCTAAACATCTCGGTTTGCACATAATGACACAGAACTGGATACTCTCGAACAGGGCGAGGAGTTGGGGAAATAAGTGTTGTTCAAGTTCAGCCACCTAAGAGACAGGGCTGAGATCAGAGCACCTCTTAATTTCCAGTTTGGCATTCTACCTATTGTCAACATATAAATCCACAAAACAATAAAAACAGAACTTCACAGAGCTAAATAATAGTAACAACAATAAGAAATCCTGAAAGATTTCAGGAATTATTAAAACACATTCAAGTTTTCGTAAGCTCTACCACCAAACGTCTGGCTAGGGCCTGCGTTAGAATGGGCTGGAAGTCAAGATAATTTGCAACTGAGTAAATGAGCACACGGCTCTTACCATGCACACAAGTGGTATTTGCAGAAGCTGGGAGACCCTGGCTGTGCATAATCCACGCCCATTACACTATCACCAACACTTTAGGCCTATGAACTTGACTGGTTCATATACGTATTGGATGAACCTTCCTTTCTAACAATGTACATGGAGTTTACTCCATGTATAGATTTAAAATTTTTGTTTTTGTTTTTTTGAGATCGGCTTGTTTGGGTCTCCTGTAGTTTCACCTTCCCACAAAGATGTTATACAGCCGAAGACTTTGAACTTCTGACTCTCCTATCTCCATATCCAGAGCTCCAGTATAACAGATATTCATCACCACAGCCAGGTACCATCGTGCTGGAGATCAAACCCAAGGCTCCATGCATGTAGGTAAGCACTCTACCACCTACCTTCCTCACCAGCCCAGACTTTAAATCTTTTCATGATATCTCTTGGGCGTGTCTCTCAAATGCCATTTCAGTGGACAAGAACTTAGGGTGGAAATAGCAGTATCTAACAAGATTCTAACCAGTGTGACATCATCGATGTGTCTTAACAATCATTAAATAGAACTAAGACAGAAGTCGGATACCTACAGCTATTCTACTTTTAAATCTGAAAACATCTGAGAGCAGCAAAGAATGAGTCCTGTTTAGGAAGTGAGTCTCCGAGATGAGTCTGTATATGTAGCAGTACTGGATTACGGCTCTAGCAACTGTGGCGCTAACGGCAGGCTGGGGAGCGGTCATCTCGAGTTTGTAAACCCCTGCAATGATGATTTTAGTAATACCCCGTGAAGATGAAAGGAAACAGCAGCCCAGAAAACCCCTATGGAGTGGCGTTGCGAACAGCCTTATCTGAAGCTGCTAGGGGCCAGGGTGCTTTGAAGTCTATGTAAATTTCACTTGGCATTAAGACAATGTCTTGGAGACCCTCTCTCCGAAACAGCACCTGTTATTTCTTTAACCAGGAACCTGGCATCCTGAGACTCCTGTTGGCTTTCCACAAGAAACTTTGTCTTGAAAATCAAAACCATTTCTTTTATTCTGGGCTGTGAGGGAACAGTGGCTTCAAAGAGAATTGAGTCAATGTGTGACATTTATCTTTAGAGCAAATGGACACCATCTTCCCTCTGGTGCGTCCCCTTTCAGAAGAGCGGTGTAGCATGTGCTGGGGCGCAGGTCATGTGAAAGAAGCCTCCTCCTCAAGTGTCACAGCTCTCTGGAGGGGCGGAAAGGCTACCGAGCGCTGGGCTCTCAAGGAATTCAACGCACCATGACCTGGCAACAACAGAATCTTGCTCAAAAAAAGAAGAAAACCAGACCTAAAAGACACTATTTTTTCATGATCTGGACTCCCTTGACCTGAAGAAGGTCAAAGCAATGTCTGGTGTCTAAATTACTTGAGACAGGATCAGATTCCCTAGCACACAGCTTTTCACAACTCCAAAGGCAACTGTGTATGCCTTTTATTTATTTTTTTTATTATTTTTTTTGTAACATTTTGAGAAACAGCTTTTAAAAAAATCCTTCTTGAAATCAGGGTGGTGTGCGACTTTGTGGTCTCTTTGTGGAGGTGGGAGTGAGGGTTCTATTTGTCTGTTTGGGGTAGTTTTTTTTTTTTTCTTTTTTCCCGATACAGGATCTCATGTGGTCAAGACTAACCTTGAACTCATTATGTAGCCAATGATGACCTCAAACTTCTGAACCCTCTGCTTCTGCCTCTCCAGTGTAAGGATTATGAGCATGTGCCATCAGTCTATTGTTAGTTTCGTGGTAAAGTGGAGTCAGGTGTGATTTGGCTTTGCCTAAAAAGTGACAGGGTGGTAAGACCTGCACTCATGACTCCTGTGCGTGCATATTTGCGAGTGTGCGCGTGCATGAGTGTGACACAGACGCAGATGAAGGCCGGAGGACAAGTTATGGAACAGATTCTCTCATTCCACCAAGTGGGTTCCTGGGATCAAATGCAGGTCATCAGGCTTGGTGGAGAACCTTGCACTCATTTCACTGGCCTGCTCACTGCTCGTCATTGATTGCAATAGTAAATCTCTCTTATACATCCCTCACTGAAAAGCCCACAGATACGCTGGCTAAGCACACTTAAAGGAGAAACACGCCTGCTTTCCTCAGAGGCACATCCTACCGCAGAACAAACAAGAAGCTGACCTTACACTGGGTACTCACGACTTCCTTCTCATTTCTCAATGCGTCTGTTATTCAGTGAAAAGTTCTCTTTCTCAGGCCTGGCCTTCTGCAGTCAAGAGCACTTTAAGATAATAAAGGGGCACAGTGTGCCCTCAGGAGACTGGCGTTATCGCTCATCTCTTTCCAAGCCTCCAGTCAACTACCTTCCACTCTTCCACTCCTTCCCAAAAACTGATGCCAGCCAAAACCCACTGCCTCCATCAGCAGAAAGGAGAACACTTACACAACTGTGTTTCACATACAGGCTTGCCTCCCTACACTAAATGACTGCCAGTCAACAGTGACTCACCTATTGAGAAATTACTCGGCTCTCTGTACTTGTCCTTGTTTTAGGCATTTCTCTCATCGCAAGGAAGGTGAGGAGTTGGAAGAAACGAAATCCAAAATGCATAAGCATTTGGTTACCCTAAGGATAAGCCAGGAACTCAGGAGTGGACCATTAGCTGTACTTGAGTCAAAGTCCCAGTTCCCCACTTTTCTTGGTCTTTTCTGCTGTTCACACAGGCTTGCTTGTTTATAAACAGCATCTCACTATGAGTTCAGCCTGGTCAAAGTCTGCAGTCTGAGTGCTGGCATGACAGGTCACTATGTCTAACTTGTTTACAAAGTTGCTATTATTTGCTTCATACTTATTAGTGTGGTGTGTGTGTGTGTGTGTGTGTGTATGTATGTACACGTATATGTGTGTGACATGTGCATGCTGTATGCACGGAGGTCAGAGGACAACTTTCAGAGTCATGTTCTTCTCCCATCATTTGGGTTCCAGGGATCAAGCTCAGGTTTATGGCAGTTGCCTTTACCTACAGAGCCAACCCGCTGAGCCTACAGAAAGTATTACAATTATAGCACTTAGCTCATTCCATAACTCAATGTGCCACGTACACCAAACTGATGTTAACTCTGGTCATCAAGGGTGACCACAAGCACACTTCACCAGTGTAGCCGTGACTGGCAGATGCCAGAGCACGCACAATGATGGAGGACATGGCCTACTTCCTGTCCCAGCTTTGCAGGAAATCCTTGAGAGGCATTTGAAACTTCCCCCATCCCAGGAACAGGCATTTATCACAAATGCTGCTTTGGAGCAAACCATTACGTGAGGTGGCACCACCATGGTGGCATGGCAGTGTCTGAACCTCTCCTTCCGAGGACCTGGCTGCGCGTGCCAGGGCTCTACGGGATAGCCGTGTCCTGGGAAAAGATCTTACCCTGCCGCTCACATAGCTTTCATATGGGAACAAAATGAAGCCTGGGCAAGAAATTCTTGCATTCTGTTTGACAAGAAATTACAGGTGAATAGGATAGGTGAACAAAGCTTACGTTCCACAAAAACGTAATAAAAATACTCACATAAAGGCGTGTGCTGTGATCAATTAGGGCAGAGCAGTTAGTGATTATACAAAAGTCCATTTGTGGCAGCGGCAGCCGGGCCTCCCCTCGTCCACTATTTCTAAAGCAGTGTTTTCCCCCTCTGTGTTCACTACGCCTTGCACTCTTTGATCTTCCCCCATTAAATGTATCTGGTATGTGCCTAGTCCGAACTTGGTAAGGGGTGGGGGAAGTGCATGAAAGGGACAGAGTATTATTGCACGTCTCTAAGATTATTCATTACTTTTCAAAACCACAGCCATTTGTGAAGGCTTTGTGTGGCACACACATGAAAGACCATCATGCTGTCCATTTTAAGTATTTTTGTTGTGTTCTTGCTTTTTGATTTCTGCCTCGTCTTGGATGGGGAGCCCCAGTGAAAAGGCTGAGAGGAGACACGGTGGGCAGTTTACAGTCACAGAGCCCTGCGGCGTGGCCGAGCAAGATTCCATACCTGAACTCGAGGGTTTGGAGACGCGTCCCTTGGAAACCGGAAGTAACAGCAGTTCCAAGGACTGAGGCTGCGCCGGCGCCGGGGGCGCGGGCGGCGGAGGGGGCGTGACTTTCTCTGGCTTCTTCTCAGAAGGCGGCAGGGGCAGAGGGTCGTCGGGTAATAAGGATGACTTCTCGGCCAGGAGGCTGCCCGCGGCCCGGGCGGCCACCTCTTTCAGGAGGGCGGCAGAGGAGGTCATGGAGGCCAGCGACAGGAAAGAGCTGGCTGGAGGCGGGTGCTCCTGACCCGGGGTGAGGCTTCTCTCGCTCACTTTCTTAGACAAAGCGGCCAAGGTGGAGCTGGCCGACTGGGAGCTGAAGGGGGAGGAAAAGGACTCAAACCTCAGGCTCTCCTCTGTCCGGGACAGGGACTTGTCCTGCAGAACAGCATTGGCTGCGGCTTTCAGTTTGAGGATGGCCGAGTCTGGAGACAGGCCGCAGGTGGTGGTTGAGCTCGGCAACCACTTACCTTGATTCCAAATGAAACGGTTACTTGGGGTGTATTGGTCGCTCTGGTCCTGCTTCTCTGCCAGCTTCCTGGCCAGGACACTGAGTTGCTGGGCATGGTGGGAGGGCGGGGAAAATGACAGGCTGGGGCCAACGTTCACGGGGGACTCCACCCTGCCGTTGGCTGTGGCATCGAGTTTGAGGGACCCAGCCTCCAGCAGCCGCCTCAGGTTGCTGCTCAGAGGTTTATTGGAACTAGGCGGGTCATCGTCACACACAGAAGACACTCCGGGGGAAAGGTGGTCTTGACACTGCAGAGAGTCTCGAAGGACCTCACCATCAAGGGCCACCAGCTCCAGCGTGTGGCTGCTGGGCGTGGCGCTGCCCAGGGAGGTGTCGGGGGATGTGGATTGCTCTTGGATCCGGTCCTCCAGGGACAGCTTATAGTTCTCTTGGACTTCCCCATAGGATGCTTCCGATGGAGTCTCAGAGGAGTTCCCATACCAGTGTTCTCCTTCGCTGAAATCTCCCTCGGCCTCGTCCTGCCTACTAACATCTGGAGGGAATCAAGAAGACCAGGTTACTCCCACAGAGAACGGCTAGTTTGTTTGAGACCCCCAAAGGCGAGGTGGTGACATGCACAGCCTTCCCTTCCACCCAAGAACCACACCAGAGCTGGAACACCAAGAGCTGCCTCAAGGTAAGCGGCTAAACAGGCAAAGGCACAAACACCAGCAAGTCCCGAGATGGTCTTTTCAGCAGTGATTCGGTAAGAGCTAAACTCGAGAAAGAGAGGAGGAAAAACACTACCAGGAAGGAAGCGGCTGGGTAAAACCCCCGCAGCTGTCCATGAATGGGGAAAACAAAATAAAGCCTGAAGCCTTGCAAACACCAAGCACAGTGACCCCTTGGATAGTGTCAGAACTACAGAGGAGCCTGGCAGAGCCAGCAAGCAGCTGCCCCGTCCTAGCCCAGTGACCTCAGGCATATCACCTAGGTGGTTTGAGGCTTCCTTTCCTCCAGTACAAGATGCAATCTGGTTTTTAATAAAGCTTCTCTGAGCGTGTAAACACTAACGGCCACACTCTTGGCCAGTTATTATGAAGCTTAAGTTCCAATAAGCATGTGACCGTGTTTTGAAAACAACAAAAAAAAAGCGCTCCATAGAAATCAGATCTCATCAGCAAACTTTGTTGGCATCAGCGGCTTGAGTGAGTTATGTGTGCCACTCACATGCCCGTGTTCTGACTACAGTCACAGCTTTCTTGCCACGTATTAAGGGTGGTGACGAGGAAGCTGTTCTTTAGGCCTCACAAGTCCTCAGGGGTTCTTTTCTATCCATCAATATGGGGATCCACCGCCCCTCTGGTCCTCCCCCAGACGCTAGTCAGGTGGAAGTTCACATTCCAGGAATGCTGGTGAGTGCCGGCACACTTTCACCCTTGTGACCTCCATCTGGAACTCTCTCCCAGAAAAGCTAGTGGCTCAAGTCTGCCCATCACCCCTAATGCCTAGCTCCAAACATTCTTTTCTTAAAATTGTCCCACAGAATCAATCTCTCCTTCCTACTCACTCATTCAACAAGTAATTACGGTGTGCTTAATGTGTGTCAGGCATTATTCTAGACTGTTCTAAATTGAACAACATTTAACAAAACAATGGTCCTGCCTTCTTAGGGATTTCACTCAGCAGAGGAAGACTGACGCTAAACTACACTTAACAGGTGATGCTGTGGGCAGGAGGGTGGTTAGTGCAATGGGAAGAACTGCAGACTGTGAGGAGGAGGATCCCAGGGAAGCTGCAGTTTCAGACAAGGTGGCAAGGAGATGTGGAGGCTGGGAGAGTGACCCTGGCATGAGATTTCGCAGCACAGAGCTCTCAACCGCAGCATTCCAAGGAAGCTAGCTCTAAGGGGCCAGCATGTAGCCTGCAGTGAGGGCTGGGCTGAGAAGCAGGGAAAGGAGGGCCAATGGGCAGTGCCTGCTTGAGTGGATGTTTGTCAACTGCATGAGGATGTCATATGCAGATCAATGACCTGCTGTGAGCTCGAAGCTGGCAGCACTGGAAGCTGTGGGCAGATGCCTCAGAGTATGTGGCTCATGATGCCAGTGGGTGACTGCTCTGGCTGCCTCACGAGAAACAAGCTGCAGTTAGAAAAGTGAAGCAGGAGGCCACCTCAGGGATTAAAGCACAGGGAGGGATGGAAGGGGCTTCCTTCGGTGACAGCTGGTGACTAGTCCAAGGGCGTTGAGTGTTTTGTTGACACTTGCTTCACATCACTCTAAAAGACCTGCTACCTGATCCCCTTCCAGAAGGAAGGAAATGTTCCTTGGAGGCAGGTTGTAGCCCCTTACCTGCATACCCCACTTTGAGCCTAGCAGGGAGCCTGGTCCCCAGCAGTTTCATCAGTGTTTGGAGACTACACCAAATTTTTCCTGACACTAAGCTCCAACACCATCACACACTGTTGGTTTTCAGAAATTTAACTACACAAGTGAACACATTGATCTTCCCTGTGCTGTTCAGAGAGGAGCTGCCACAAATGACAAATTCTCTCACTAGGTGAAAGTTCTGCAGCGCCTTTCCCAGACCTTTCAAGTTATCAAGAAAATATAAAATATCAAATGGAATTTGCTTTTGTTCAAAAAGAAACTGCTAAAATTAAATTTTCTCTGTTAAAACCAGTTCCTTGCCATTTGCTACATTTCCCTTTTCTCGGTTGATTTATACATTTTCTATGTCCTGAAATCACTGGTGTCCCTGGACTCCTCATTTCCCCAATGGCTCCCAGGAGTAGGGGTGCTTCTTGCCAAACCTCAATCAGTCAACATCAACCCCAACAATATGCGTAATTTTAGGTATCTTTCACACACCATCTGTCCTGAGTTCAGATTAAATACCTTATACTTCAAAAAATAATAACAATAACTTGGGATCTTTACTATATACAGTAAGAAAAGTAGAACATTGGAAGAGTCATTATAGCAAGGATTAGCTGACTCTTCAATCATTGTACACATTACATGAGTGAACAGAAAAAATACATTATCCAAACTACAGTGTGTTGGGGTTCTATTATCATACTTGTGGAGCACTATATAGTCAACACTGGTACTGAGTCAGCACAGTAAGGGTTAATAAGAGGATCCATGAAATGAGGGTTTGAAAACCTAGAAAGTTATAAACAGGCATCCAATCTCGTCATTTCCCTGAGATGATGAAATACAATAAAGGTAGCCAGTTAACTCAGTGTCATATGGCTGTCTACTACTAACATCAGAAGCAAAGACCTGAATCTCTGGCACCTTGGCCCAGGGCTCTGTAAAAGTATCTTTTATCACCTGCTATAATTGTTGTCTTGGAGGTTTAGTGCTGAATAAGCTCACCCTTTCTAGTTCTTTCTGAACTCTGGCTGGCTGGTTCAACTCAGCTGGTCTGGCTCAAACTCCTCTTCAAGCTGACTGATTCAAACTGGCTTCTCTCAGCCTCTGACTGAATCATTCTGCTTGTCCTCATACTAAACTTTGACAATATGTTCTAATCTTCTGGCTTTTTCTCATTATCTACCTCGTTCTGTCTTCACCTGTGTCTAGCTTGTTCTCTCTTCAACCTGCCTCTGTAAAACTATCCCAGTAAAACTGCATCCTCTCTCTCTCTCTCTCTCTCTCTGTCTCTCTCTCTCTCTCTCTCTCTCCCTCTCCCTGTGCTGCTCTCAAGTCCTCCCTCTTGGGTTTATCCTATGTCTACATTTGTCACTTTGTCTGCCTCTCAATAAAACATCACTTTTAAACATGGGTGCTTCCTTCTACAAACTAAAAGGTGTGTGCTGAGGACATGTGTATTCCAGCCAGAGTGCTAGCCACGGTGCTAGATTAAAATTCCTCTAGAGGGCTTCTCTGCTAACCAGGAGTCTGCCAAGGGCCTCTAGGATAGCTCTGCCAGGAAGTTCTTAGAGGTTGGCTGCCCTCCTTGACATCCCCAGCCACCCTTCCATTGGTTGAATCTGAAATCAGCAGGAGGTCATTCCACATAAAGACCATTCACTCCCTATCTGGAGATGCTGAGGAGAGAATCCTTTACCCCTATACTTTATTCTCTCCTCTCCCTTTCTGACTTTTTTTTTGTCATAGCAGGCAGAAGTTGACCCAACTACCTAAAGAGTTCAGTGCATCTTATGGCAAAAGGCCAAAGCATGGCTACATTTCCTAAGTCCCTCCACATCCTCAGAGCAGAGGAATATCCCTCCTGAAGCGAGTGGGTGGACCAGAAACTAAGGGAGTTATCCGATCAGAGTAATTATATCAAGCATCAAAGCCTCTCAAATGAGACACACAGCTAACACTTATCTCCACATAAGGCCATCCTCCTAAATTTGCCAAAACATGACCTCAAAGAATTGTTACGAGTGAACAAAGAATTTCACAGAGTGCTGTATGCCCCTAAATGCCTGTGTGTTTCTCAAGCACCCGATTCCCATTCCAAGCAGATGCAATCACAGAGATCCATGTTCCTCTGAGCTATGCAGAGCTGGGATATTCACAGCACTCCTTATTCAATGTGATGGACAATCATTGTAGTTAACTTGGTTGAATCTGGGATTAACCAACACATACACCTCTGAGGGCCGGAGGGGTCTGTGAGAGGATATCTTGGAAGAACTGACTAAAGAGGGAACACCAAAGAGGTCTGAGGGAAAAGCAGGGCTGGTTTTGCTTGCCTGGCTTCATTCTTGCTGGTGACGCTTTGACCTTCTTGCTACTACTGCTGCTGCCATCCTTGGCTGAGTGATGGACCCTAGCTTCTTCCGCCTTTTAATATGGACCAAAGACTTGTGACACTCCCTGCTGCTATAGCCCTTTAGTCCTTCAGTGCCAGACAGGGACTGCTGAGACATCCAACCTTGTGCACTGAGTAGCTACTAGATCCTCAGCCTCTCCAGTATGAAGATGGCCATTGCCGAACTACAGGAAGTATTGTGTAAGCCATCTAATAAGTCACCTTTGTGATATGCAGCCATTCCATTGGTTCTGCTCCCCCAGAAGACTCAGTGCTACACCACAGTCACTTCTCTGGCTGTTTCTATGTCTGTGCTATTCAAATAACCAGAGGGTTTGAACACAACCCCTCAAAAGAGAAAGAGCATGTATTTGAGAGGAAAATGAGCTAAAATTATTCCGGCATCCTCGAGGTCAACTGGAAAGTAGAGGAGGCCTTTAGAAGATAAATGTAAGGTACGTAAAGAGGTTGAGGAATGACCAGAATTCACACTCTGCCTATAAGACCATGACCCCCCATGACCCCCCTAGAAATTGTTTTTATTTTTGTTTTGTTTGTGAGTTCCTCTGTATCAAGCACGGGCTCGTAGAGGTTGTACTGGTCCAGCTGCAGGGAACTCCTGTCCTGGTGCATCTTGAGGAAAGACTCCCTAGAGGGACCTGCGGATGCCACAAAGTGCAAGACATGTAATTCCTGACTTTCACTTCTCGGAATCCAGGAGGGCCCCGGCAGCAAAAAAGACACCTCCATCTTCTTGTCCATCAACCAGCATGAAATCAG